CCTCCCCAGGCCCCACACCCCAAATCTCCTGGTATTTCCCAACCTGGAGTTGACAAATAAGGGAGCACAGCAGGCTCCTCTTCTAACCAGGGTTGGGGGTCGGTGGGAATCAGGCAGCGTCCGATCTGCACCAGGCAAGTGTTTTGCGGACCCCGAAATCTCCCCCTCCCCCCGGTCAAACTCACCGTTGCGTCTTCAGAGCAGGAAGCGATTATGAAGTCATTGAAAGGGTTCCACTTGATGTCCAGCACGTTGCCCTTGTGGCCACAGACGCGCGGGTAGTGCGGATCGAGTTTTCCCGTCTGAAAAACAAACAGAGGGATTCCGTTCCCAGGCTCTACAGCGAGGCTGGGCAACTGACGAAGGCCAAAAGGAAGGCAAAGTCTCCAGAGCGTACCCTTCGTCTTGGTTTTGATCCCAGTTAACTCAAAACATTAGTTCCTTCTCTCAGAGCCGTTTCTTCCTCATATCCAACCACCGGGGGCCGCAGCCCAACTTATAATTCAATGGCAAAAACACTTCAGTATTTACTGGGTTAATGATGTTTGCAAAGTCACATGTTTGTTTGTAACCAATCTGTTTTAGACAGTTAGAAAGCCCGGGAACTACAGAGCTAGTTTGTTGTTCTGATTGGAAACCAAAGTGCCAAGTATTAGCATTTTATGGCTTCTCTTCCCGTCTTGTGTTTCTTTGTTCTGAACAAGAAGGAGAAGCCTCTCTTCTGCCATTTTCAGTCTAGCTGTAAGGATGTAGGCATATAAGCTCTTTGTTATTTTATATCCTGTGTACCTTTTCCCCATGCTAGGTTGTAGTAAACTTTTATTCTTTTAAACACAACATGGACTCTGCCTCTTTAATACTCTGCTAACAAACTTTAAACCAAAAGAATCCCAACACATTACCTTCTATTCCAGAGCTCTGGGATAAAAAGGACAAGGGCGCACACTTAAGTACACGTGGGAGAGAAGGGCCGCAAGCAAAGTGTACACCAACTCCAGATGAAATGCGACGTTTTAAGGACAGTGGGAGGGGACCGGAAACGCCTACAGTATTTTCACTAGAGATCCCTCCTCTTCTTTCTGGTGGCACGCTCCGAAACACTGATTCTCTCGCTTTAGCTGCACGGCCACTTTGAACTGGGGAAAAGCCAGCTGTGTAAAGCACCAACTTGGCTGGTGCCCATGCCATGATAGCTACCATGCCCCAGTGCAGTTTTGCAAGTGTTTTTTTTATACACTTCAGAATTTTTTTTTGCAAGGTGAAGGATCAGTATGTAACTGAATAAACATACAGTACACCTATAAAAACCAAATGGACTAGTTGTTGGATGAATTAAGGAAAGGATGCAAGAATGACAGATTATCCAGCATTGGGCGGAGGTATTTTTTTGCATTTGTGTGTGTGCACGTGTGCCTGGAAGTCATGGTGACCTCTGGCAACTCCTACTGGGGCACGGAGGACATTCCAGAGAAGTGGCTTGATAGCCTGCCTCTGGCCTCCCGGCCCTGGTATTCCTTGGAGGTCTCCCATCCAAATACTTCCCAGGGTGGGCCCTGCTTAGCTTCCGAGATCTGACGCTGATTGGGCTTGCCTGGGCTGTCCAGGTCAGGGCGGATGATCCAGCATCTGATTTGCTAAAAGGTAGATTTGTAAAGCACAAGTTGCAGATCTGGGCTCACACCATATGTAAGGAACTCACTGTAACTGCTCTTAACACCTTCTCTCTGTTTTCACCCTTGGAATCTAGTGAATTCTGAAATGTGCTGCCCCAAACCAGGGAAAAAGAGGGAAGCCCGTCCATTAGGGGCACCTAGGGCACTAGAGATGGAGGGACACCGAATCTGACCCTGCTGCTTCCCACACACCCACCAGCCGTGTCAGGGTGCTGCAGCCCTGGGCAGTGCCCCCAGCCACAGTGGACAGCCCATGGTGAGTGACCCTCCTTCCTGCCCCCTCCTATCAGGGGAGGGTCAGCATTCTTTCATCCTCCCCAGGGCCGGCTCGCTCACTAGGTGAACTAGGCGTTCGCCTAGAGCGCACCAGCCCTTAGGGGCGCCAAACTGCACCTGCCCTCCCACCAAAAGCCCCCCCCCACCTAAAGCCCTGCATTTCCATGGCCGGGTGACCCCCGCCACCGTCGCTGCCCGCCGCCTCTTTGGCCGGCTAACTTCTCCCTGCCTGCCCCCTTGGCTTCCCAGCGGAGCGCTTCTCCTCCTCCTCCTCTTCAACGGAGCGCTTCTCCTCCTCCTCGCAGCCGGGGACTGGCAGCTGCAGCAGCAGCAGCAGCAGCAGGGCTGGGGGAGCGGTGGCTTGTGAGCTGCTCCAGGTGCCCTGACGAGGGGTGCCAAACTGCACCCGCCCCCCTGCCAAAAGCCCCCCCGCTGGCTCTGACCAGGTGGGTGCACAGGGCGGCACGGGGGGGCGCCAGAAGGGATCTTCGCCTAGGGTGCACAATAAGCTGGGGCTGGCCCTGATCCTCCCCACCACTGGGGGCAGGGTCCTGGGTGGGCGGTGGCTTCCCTGTGGCACGGAAGTGTGCGCCAGTGAAGTAACTTGCCTCTGTGCCAAAAATCCTTGGGCTGCTCCTGCATACAGTGACCCCCTTGACAGATCAGGGACCACCAACACAGACTAAAGACGCACATCTGGAAACGAGACATCTAGGGCAGCCCTGCCTTGCACCGTAAGCCATGGGTGGGGCATGTATTTCTATCCCTAACACAAGCAGAATTGTGAAATTCTCAGTCATCATCTCCAGCTGGACACATGTGGTCGCCTGCAATTGTGGCAATGTTTTAAAGAGAGCTGAAATGTGTTTTTCTTCATGCAAAAATGCAAGTGCTTTCCCCCGCCTTCACCACAAGGGGTCCACACCAGACTTAAACGTTTTCTGTCATGGCATAAAGTGGAATGGAGTTGACAGAATACGCAAAAGGCGGCTTAGTAGTACCAGGTCAACCCATTCATCTGCAAGATAAACGCAACACTGATGCTGTGTACGCGGTGAGATAAAACACTGTTCGAAGAAACAATCCTTTCCTAAAAGGGCTGACCCCAGGAAGTCCTAAATGAGACTAGCAATAGCTCCGTATACTTTGGCATTTTCTTAAATGCAAACCTCAAAGGTCAACAGTGAGATTGAGGGTGAAAGATAGATGTCTTTACAGACCAGCACACCACCGTGCCCTAGTGAAAACTCTTGGTAAAGGGGGTCTCTTGCAATGGCCTGCCAACTGGCAAGGAACATCTTACAGAGAGCCAGTTTGGTGTAGTGGTTAGGAGCATGGACTCTAATCTGGAAGAACCAGGTTTGATTCCCCACTCCTCCACATGCAGCTGCTGGTGTGACCTTGGGTCAGTCACAAGTTCTCTCGGAGCTGTTCTCTCAAGAGCAGTTCTAGAAAGAGCTCTCTCAGCCCCACCCACCTTACAGGGTGTCTGCTGTGGGGAGGGGAAGGGAAAGGAGATTGTAAACCACTCTGAGTGAAGGGTGGGGGTATAAATCCAATCTCTTCTTCTTCTCTCTTATTAATCCCCATTGCTGCTTCTCTGGATTTCCATTGAACTTGTGAACTGGCACGGTATAAGGCAAGCTTCATGAGAACATGAGACGAGCCCTGCTGGACCAGACCAGTGGTCCATCTAGTCCAGCATCCTGCCTCACACAGTGACCAGCCAGTTCCTCTGGAGGGCCAACAAAAGGGCATAGAGGCCGAGGCCTTCCCCTGATGTTGCCTCTGGGTTCTAGGATGTGGAGGCTGAGTGCCTCTGAACACGGAACATGAAGGTTCCCCTCAGTCACCATGGCTGGTAGCCACTGATAGCCCTATCGACCATGAATCTATCTAATCCCCTGTCTATACCTGTCGTCATCACTCCATCCTCTGGCTGCGAATTCCACATATTAGTCACTCTCTGAGGAGTGGGAACATAAATCCTGTCCAATGAGAGACCAGTTCACCTCAGGTGCAAGTGGCAAAGCCCAGGGTGGTTGGGTATTTTTTAGCATTTTGCAGCTTCGGATCCTTTCTCCCTAAGGCTTGGGAGAAATTCCGGGGGGGGGGGACACATAATCAAACAATAATCACTGAACAGGCACAGGCCTCTCATCTTCCCTGAAAAGTCCCAAGAACAGTAACAGCTTTGGACAAGGAAGGGAGCACCAGTCCCAGCAAGAAATCACAGTAAAGGGCTCTTTGCCCTACCTGTTCCTGGTGCTTCTTCCAGGGGTCCTTTCCTGCAGGAGCGCACAGGAGCGGAGCTCTGGCAGTAAAGAGCCCAGGGGGCGAGCACATGCAACAAGCCCCACCCCCTGCTCCCAGCAGCCCTCAGTCAGAGCAAGAAGCAGCCAGGTAAGCTGCAGAGCCCCCCCCAGCCCCCGGTCCAAAACAGTCCAGTGGCACCTTTAAGACCAAGTTTTATTCAGGAACAAGCTCTCCCTCCTCCTTTGCGAGGACAGATCTGCACGTCCCCCCCCCCCACTAGCTAGCAATCCAAAACAGTCCAGTGGAGCCTGAGCGGTGGGTGCTGCCTTCTGACATACTTCCGGTGATGTCGGGGTGTGTGGCATATGCAAATGAGTTATGCTAATGAGCTCCTGCACCTCTTTTCCTACGAAATGACCCCTGGCTTCTTCCAAAGATATATGTGTTTGTGTGTGTGAAGTACCCTCAAGTCACTTCTGACTTATGGTGACCCTACGGGTTAAGGTCTTCCAAAACATCCTATCGTCAACAGCCTTGCTCCGGTCTTACAAACTGAGGGCCCTCATGGCTTCCTTTATGGAGTCCATCTACCCCATGTTTGGTCTTCCTCTTTTCCTGCTGCCTTCAGCTTCTCCTAGCATCATCTTCTCCAGTGATGCTCGTCTTCTCATAATGTGATCAAAGTATGACAGCCTTCAGTTAAGTCAGTTTAGCTTCTAGGGAGAGTTCAGGCTTGAATTGATGTAGGACCCACTGATTTGTCTTTTTGGTGGTCCCACGGTATCCATAAAAATCTTCCCCAACACATCCCGAAGAATGAACATCTTAAGGACTTATTACACTTTTAAACATTAGAATCCACACAAGAGAATCTTGTTAGACTGAATATATCCTTACTTAGGCGTATATTCTGTTTGTTCCATATACAGTTGTTTATTCCTTTATGCTTTATAGGGCTATCGTTAACCTGACTTATGTTGTATTATACATGTAAAATTAATAAAAATTTAATTGGAAAAAAAAATCTTCCCCAACACCACTTGAGAGCCAGTTTGGTGCAGTGGTTAAGTGCGCGGACTCTAATCTGGGAGAACCGG